TTGAGAACATGGGTGCATACACCGTTGCTGCTGCGTCTACTTTCAATGGGTTCCAGAGGCCTTCCATCTACTACGTGATGTCGAGGTCATTGTGGTGAGTGAGTTTGCGCAGACTTGTATTTCCCCCAAGCATGGATCTCTGGGTTGTTGAGGGGTGGGACATGTACCTACCACGAGCAGGTAACATGTCAAATGTCATACATTCCATCCCTGGGTGCATGCTCCACTGTGGGGAAAACACATGCTAGGCTGAGGAAGAGGAAAGAATCAGTTGAGGATTGGCCTTGACTGTAACAGGGCACCTTGGATTTGATTAAGCTCGGCTCTTGTCTAATTGATACAAAATTGTTTTACTTTGAATTAAATGCAGACAAATGGAAGGGAATCCTCCAATAATACTAATGATCACATTTTTCCTAGGAAGATTCTTAGAACTAAAAGCAGTTAGATTAATGTAACTAGTGTTCAAGTTAGCGTCTGTCACCACGATTTCCCCATTAATGAAGCGGGGCATTGAGTTGCTTCCCGCCTGGTGCTGTAGTGATGAGGCATGCCATCACTACAGTATTGAGGCTGCCCGTTGGAGGGACTTGGGTTTTGAATGTGCCACTTGTTTGTTTCCAGGCAACTCATGAAGCAGATCCAGAGCCATGGCTTCCCACCAGAAGTGGAGGAGCAGGATGTGGGCACGCTGCTGCCCTTGTCGTGTGCCCAGGAGAGCGGGATGGACCGGCACCCAGCAGCCTGTGCTTCTGCTAGTATCAATGTGTAGCTCTCACTGCAAGTTTAGCTTGAACTAAGGGATTTGGGGGACCATTTAACTTAATTACTGCTAGTTTTGAGGTCTTTGTAAGAGTAGAGGTTGCAACAGATGCAGAATGGAAGGCTAGGAGATGGGTCACACTTCCCTGTGTTCCTATGGAAACTTTGAATAGTTGTTTTATATGGATTTTTATTCACTTTTCAGACATGATACTAACGTGCCCCTCAGCTGCTGAGCAAGCATTTGTAGCTTGTGCATTTGGCAGAATGGGCCAAAAACTGATGTTGTGACCCATTTTGAAAATAAACGATCTTGAAATAATTGGGCATCAGGGAATGTTTGCAAGTGTCCCTTAAAGAAGGCACACACTTCCTGCACAGGCTGCTGTAGTCACAGCCGAGAAGGACAAGGTGGATGGGACAAGGCCACGCCCTCTACACAGCATCCATCTGCTTAGTCAGCCCTGCATGTATGCACTGGGCTGTGAAGTTGGTGCCCAGAGCCTGTGGGTGAGGAATGTCATCTGCCCAGATACCCGATGTCCTGGCCACATCCCAGGGAGGGCATCGGAAGCTCTTTGAACCTTGCCTGCAGAAACCCTGAATGTTCCCCAACCCTTGGCTTCGCCTGCAGCACCACCTAGTAACAGCTGGAAGTATCTATCACACAGCACGTGGCAGTCAACTTCCTGTAATAAATTCAACAGCAGCAACCACTGTGTTGTAAATCTTTACCTTGACCACTGACCTTTTATAATCTACTCAATTACACACCTGCTTCGCTCTGAAAAAGTCCTAAACTCTGGAAAACCTGTAGCTCAGGAGAGTCACAGCCTGTAATCCCAGCACTGGAGTTTTTGACCAGTGTGGGCTAACAGACCCTACCTCAGATAACCAACCAACCAACCAGTTAGGTGTAGCCTGAGTAAAGCCACAGACCTGTGAGCATCTGGAGGGGAGGGCTGCCCAGGGCGGAAGCCCTCCAGGCTGCTGCGGTGTTGTGCCTTCCATGCCTGTGAGCGGGAAATCCTGGCCCTCAAGCTGCCTTCCTCTTCAAGATCGCAACTACACACATGACCTGCTTCCCCACGCTTAGGGCTAAAATGTGAACTTTCTTGGGAGCCATAAAGATATGGCTGGAGTTGGGAGGAAAGATGCGGTGAAGCCACTGGTGGTTAAGGGTAAAGGTTCAGGTGGTCCCCATACCTCTAACCGCTGGGCCAGGAGGCTGGCTCATGTGGGGACTTGATTACAAAGGCCCCAGCCCAGGCTTGGGTTAGTGGTAGTTAGGATAACTGGATATCCACCTGGGGAAATGAAGGTCTCTCCAGCTCATTTCCCACAGTTCTTGACTACGGGAAACACTGAAGGCAAGGGACAAGCGGGAGAGCAGCAGGGCTCAGTTTCTTCAGACGAAACTCCAGTCTATAAATGTGCAAAGCAGTCTAGAGGTGAAAGCCAGTGAGGGAGGTTCATGGGAGAGTACAACTTGTATTTTGCTTGCTATGCAGCCCTAACTGGCCTCTGAAGTACCACGTGGGTACTTCATGCCTGGGGAGGCCGGAAGAGAGCATCAGATCTAGAAATGGAGTTACAGAACCTGGGTCCTCTGCAAGAGCAGCCAGCACAACTTAACCACTGAGCCATCCCTCCAGCCCCTAGATACAGTTTTTTGAATGTTCAAGTTTTTGACCTTTGAAGAAACGTCCTCACCTGTCTGGCTGGCAAGGGCAGTTCCTCGGCCCTGGTGGAGTGGTAGCCTAGCATGCTCAAGGCTTTGGGTTCCTTCTGGCCATGGGAGAGGTTGGTAAACTCTGGAAGGCAGTCGTGTTCACTCTTGATGGGATGTGAGGCAGCTTTGACCTAGCTTTGGATTTTCAAGATGGTTTCTCTGTAGCTTTGCACCTTTCCTGGAACTCACTCTGTAGCCTAGGCAGGCCTCAAACTCACAGATCTGCCTGCCTCTGCCTCCCAAGTGCTGGGATTAAAGGCGTGGGCCACCACCGCCCAGCAACCTAGTTCTTAAAATACTTTTTAACTTTATCAGGATCTGACCCTGACCTTGAATTTATTATCCTCCTGCCTCAGTCTCATGGGTGAATGCTAAGATTCACATCCAGCTTTTCTGAATTATTTTTTGACTAATGTATGTATATACATATATGCTTGTGTGGGTGTCTAAACACATGTGTGCACACAAGTGTAGACTAGAGTCCCACCTCTGGTGTCTTCCTTGACCACTTTATTTTTAGAAGGGTAAAATATTTATGGTTACACATAACTGAAGTCGATTAAACATAATTTTAAAACAATGCTGTAGCTCTTCGGATATAGTTGTGTGTGTGTGTGTGGCATATGTGTAGTGAGAGGGGGGTATGCACACCTTGTGTACATGCATATGTGTAGTGAGAGGGGGGTATGCACACCTTGTATACATGCATGCATACATGCAGTGCCCAGAGGGGGATGTCAGGTGTCCTGTTGTATCACTCCATCCCTTGAGAAAGAACTCATTGAACCTGGAGCTGGGCTGTCTGCACACCACCCCCAGGGAGCCCTCTCTCTCCACCCCCACGCCCACACCTTACTGTTCCAACAGTGTCTCACCAGACCTGGAGTTCACGCGTGACTATACTGGCTGGCCAGCAAGCCCCCGGGATCCTGTCAGCACCTCTCCCACTCGGGGATCACAGGCCCGGCCACCTGGGTTTTTATGTGGGTGCTGGGATCAAACTCGGGGCCTCATGCTTGCAAGACAAGTGAGTGTTTTACTCACTGAGCCGTCTCCCCAGCCCCTGAAACTTGCTCGGCCTCGCTGGCTCATTCCCTGCCCAAAGAGCAGCAGGCAGGGGCAGCCCGAAGCACCTCTGCTCTGGACCTCAGCCGGGATGGGCACCCCATTCCTGCCATGGACTGAGTTGAGCGGGGAGTTGGACAGACCCAGCTGGGGAGGCCCCATCGTGGCTAGCACGGAGTGCCTCTCTAGCTGCCTCATCTGCAGCCCGGGGAGCGAGCCAGCGTGCCTCTGGACTTGCCACAGGCTGGACTTGCAGAGCCAGAGTTAAGCGGCATTTCTCCATTTCTCTGTGATATCTACTCCAGCTCTCGCCTTGAGCGCCTGGCCTGGTTTCCCTCCGTGATGGTCTTGTAAACCAAACAAACCCTTCCCGCCAGTTTCTTTGGGCCAGTGTCTTATCACAGCACCAGAAAAGTTGTAACTACGACATCCCTAGCCCCACCCCTGAAACACGGGCTGTTAGTGGAGAAGGGTTTTAGGCACATTCGCTGCTTACTTGAGGGTGGCCAGACTTGTTTACCTGGCCTAAAGTCGTCTGTCTGTCTGTCTGTCTGTACTGGCTGGTTTTGTATGTCAACGTGACACAAGCTAGAGTCATCAGAGAGGAAGGAGCCTCAGCTGAGGAGATGCCTCCATGAGATCCAGCTGGAAGGCATCTTCTCAATTAGTGATTGATGGGGAGGGTCCAGCCCATGGTGGGTGGTGCCATCCCTGGGCTGGTGGTCCTGGGTTCTGTAAGAAAGCAGGATGAGCGAGCCATGGGGAGCAAGCCAGTGAGCAGCGCCCCCTCCAAGGCCTTTGCATCAGCTCCTGCCTCCAGGATCCTGCCCTGCTTGAATTCCTGTCCTGACTTCCTTCAATGATGAACAGCGATGTTGAAGTATAAGCCACATAGACCCTTTCCTCCCCAACTTGCTTTATGGCCATGGTGCTTCGTCACAGCAGTAGAAACCCTAAGATAGAAATTGGCAGCAACATAGTGGGATGAGAGACCTGATCATGTTTTGGGGAAGACTGTGGAAGGACTTTGGAATTTGGGGCTAGAAGAGCCACTGAGTGTTAAGAGCTCAGTGGGGTCCTCTTTAGGAGCTCAAGAATGCTGAGAGCAGGGCAGATGATGGTGGAGGCCTGGCCTGTGAAGATCCAGAGGGAAGTTTAAAGACTATCAGGGCCATCTGTTATTTTAAATTAAGATCCCGTGGTTCTGATTAGCTGGGGCTGAAGAATCAGCTGTGATGAACAAGATACCACAACTCCTAAAGCAAAATTTTGCTTTGCTGGGATACTCAATGCTGGTCAGCTGGAGCTAAGAAATTAGCATGATTAAGAAGACCAGCATCCCTGGTGAAATCTTCTGGGAAGTGTTTTCTGAGAGCACAGAGAAGCTGTTTCCAGAGGCGGCCATGGTTGTACCTCGTGCTGGCAGCCGGACTGGGTAATGTGTAAGCGTCACCCAGGTGGTCCTGGTTTTGAAGGCAAGAAGAGCATGGAGAGCAGCTGAGGCTCGGTACTAAAAGAGGCAGGAGAGGCCATTGGTGAAGGTGCAGCCTCAGTGGTAGTCGAAGGCCCAGGACTGAAGGGGTCATGCAGAGAAATTGAAGCTTGGCACCATGAGACGAGCCTATGAGAGGCAATTAGTGAAAGTGCAGCCCAGTTGCAGCAGAGACCCCAGCGTTTTGGAGATGGCAGGACCATGGCATGACCACCAAGGACAGCAGCAGCTGTGGAGTGGAGCCAGCTGGAGCCTAGAAGACAAGCTGTGTGTGCTACGGAGGGCGGAGCTGGAGAAGTGACTCAGGCTTTTTGGAGAAGCCCAGAAAATCGTAAGTGGATCCCAGCCATTGGACGGTTGGAATTTGGTTTTGCTTTGATACAATTGTGACTGTGCCCTGATTTTTCGCTCTTGGTATAAGAAAGTATTTTACTGGAGCCCACAGTTGAGAGACTTTGAATTTTAAGACTTTGGATTTTAAAAGAGGTTGGCTATTTTAAATTTTAATGCATTTGAATTTGTAAAGATAGTGAGACTTTATTTTTTTATTTTTTATTTTTTTGGTCTTTCGAGACAGGGTTTCTCTGTGTAGCTTTGCACCTTTCCTGGAACTCACTCTGTAGCCCAGGCTGGCCTCAAACTCACAGAGATCCACCTGCCTCTGCCTTCCAAGTGCTGGGATTGAAGGCGTGCGCCACCACCGCCCAGCCCAATACAGGGTGGTTTTGTATGTCAACGTGACACAAGCTAGAGTCATCAGAGAGGAAGGAGCCTCAGCTGAGGAGATGCCTCCATGAGATGCAGCTGGAAGGCATCTTCTCAATTAGTGATTGATGGAGGAAGGCCCAGCCCATGGTAGGTGGGGCCATCCCTGGGCTGGTGGTCCTGGGTTCTCTAAGAAAGCAGGCTGAGGAAGCCATGGGGAGCAAGTCAGGAAGCAGCGCCCCTCCATGACCTCTGGATCAGCTCCTGCCTTCAGGTTCCTGTCCTGTGTGAGTTCCTGTCCTGACTTCCCTCAATGAAGAACAGTGCTGTGGGAGTGTAAGCCACATAAACCCTTTCCTCCCCAACTTGCTTTACGGTCATGGTGTTTCGTCGCAGCAATAGAAACTCTTAACTGGGACAGTTTGCCTGTCTTTGTTTTCTTTTCTTTTTTCTTATTTATTTATTTACATCCCAACCACAGCTTTCTCTCCTCCTCCTAGTCCCTCACCCTACCTCCCCTCCATCTCCCCATCCCCCCACCCACTCTTCTGTTTCTGTTCAGAAAAGGGCAGGCCTCCCATGGGTATCAATCAAACATGGTGTATTAAGTTGCAGTAAGGCTAAGCACCTCCTGTTGTATTAAGGCTGAACTAGGTGACCCAGTATGAGGAATAGGGTCCCAAGAGTAGGCAAAAGAGTCAGTGACAGTCCCTGCTCCC